TTGCACCCCATCATAAACTCATGCATCTCATGGTGGCGTATCTCCCCGTCTCAGATGGTGCCCAACTCTTGGCGCTATCTGGTAGCGTTCTTGGGGGAGTGCCACTATGCCAACATCACCCCGACCCGATCCCTCTTCCTTTCTTGCTTTCGACTTTCCAAGGGGTCGGGGGGCTACTATCTGTCTGCCCGAGAGGGCTCCGAGTGAGCGGGGCTCCTTCCAGTAATAAGGGATGGAAGGGGCGCTTCTTTTTTGTCAGCCGCTCGGAGGACTAGGGTTTCGAGCTTCGATGGGCGGCGCGCGTGATAGACAACACCGCCCCGGGTTTGGACGATGAGGAGCGCCGAGAGCTCCGGAGGCTTAAAGAAATCCTCCCAGCCTCAAGAGCCATCCAGAGTATGTCCGAGCAGTGGTTGGTCGAGGCGAGTCTTAGCCCGATGCCTCGAGGTATGCCCTAAGGGGTAGTTTTAGGGTTTCTTTTAGGGATTATCTAGTTGGCTGACCAATGTTAGTGCTTTTACGCAGAGATGGTGGTTCTCTGAGACCTGCGTGGGGGTAAGACCCCGTCGGCTCCATCTGCTCGTTCGTCGATTGAGGCGAGGGCTGGCTCGAGAGAGGCCCCAGTGGATGTTGAGGCCGGTCGTCCTTGGAAGAAGGCGAAGACTTCCTCGGCAAAGGCCTCTGGGGAAGCTGCAGCTCAACTAGTGAGGGTCGTCGCCACACCGGCCGGCCACGCCGGGAAAAGCCTCGGGCGGGGTGAAGCCGGCTCGATTAGGGAGGTGGTGGGGAAGGCCACTCGAGAGCCCTCCATCCGCGAGCTTTGCCGCCTTCAAGCCGGGGAGGATGAGCCCTACCAGGCGAGGGCGATAGGTGGCCTTCCTCAAGGCAATCCCTCCGACCTGCTGATGGCCCACTGGGAAGGCCTTTCCCGAGGCAGCCAGGTGTGGGCCGATGGGGATTCCGTGGCCGGGTTTGTCCGCGAAGGGCTCCATCCCGACATAGCTTGGGACTTGTACACTCTGCCCTCCGAGGTTCTTCTTGTCAGGTCTGCCAAGTCACTGCTGTGGGTAAGTGTCATTCCGTTGGTTCGGTTGTGTGTGTTCGGATAGCTCTTGTCTTAACTCATTTGTCTGTAGGGCACTCATTATGCCACGGCGCTGATGGACCGCGTTCGCGACGCGGGGCGGGTCATCGACATCCTGAGCGACCACAATGCCGACCTCCGGAAGCAGGTGGAGGAGGTCCGCGCCGGGGCAGCTCCTGAGGCGGTCGCGGCAACCGAGCAGTGCGCCTCGAATTTGGATGCGGAGGCGACGCGCCTCCGATCCGAGCTCAAGGCGTCCAAGGAGCGGAATAAGGAGCTTCAGACACATCTGAAGGCATCTGTGGCTGAAGCTCGTTCGGAAAGGGGGGAGTCGGTCGAGCTGATCCGTCGGCTAGAGGAGTCGCGTGCTGAAGCGCGGGGGGCTGCCGAGGCCCTTGCCATCGAGATCCGTTAGAGGCCGGAGAAGGACAAGAAATTGATCGAGGACTGCAAAGATTCCTCTAGCTTTCAGCTTGGCCTTGTTCGGACTGGGCGGGTTTCGTACGAATATGGGTATCGGATCGCCCTCGCCCACTTCATGGCGCGCCACCCCGGCCTGGAGGTCGCGGAGGATCCTTTCGACTCCTTCCCTGAGGACATGGACGTCGACATGCCAGACGAAGTCCCATTTGATGATAGCCCGACGCTCCAGAGGAATAAATGTAGACCTTTATGTACATATTTTTTCCTTTTGTTGTTCGGGTGTTGACTACAAATTTAATGTACTTCTGATAATAATACGGCTGCTTTTATCCTCATCGTACTCGTGTGTCTTGTGGTTTGCCTATTACTAATGCAATGTGTTATACCAGCTTTCGTTAACATAACTCTATCTTTTGTTAAGTCCCAGTTCATCGTACTACAGGAAAAACCTTTTGAGATTTTGCGAGTTCCAAGTCCTTGGCAAAGCGTGGCCCTGCATCGTCGCGTACCGACCCTAACAACTTCGATCACCCTATAAGGGCCTTCCCAGTTGGGAGCTAACTTCCCACGTGCTCGGGTCGGGTCGCTAACCTCGGCCCTGCGTAAGACCAAGTCACCCAGCTTAATTGGTCGAGGCCGCACCCTGTGGTTATAGATCCTAGCGATGGCCCTTTTATAGGAGAGGTCTTTCAGGTGCGCGTTAGTGCGCCGCTCCTCGAGCAGATCGAGATCGGCTCGCAGTCCCTGGGCCGATACCCGTTCGTCGTAGCTTGCCGTCCTCGGGTTAGGGAAAACCATCTCGGGGGGCAAGACAGCCTCGGTCCCGAACGAGAGGCTATAAGGGGATTCTCCGGTTGCGGTCTTGGGGGTGGTCCGCAGGGACCACAGGATACTGGGGAGCTCATCCACCCAAGCTGATTGGGCCGCTAACACTCTCCTCTTGAGTCCGCTTAGAATAGATCGATTAGTGACTTCGGCCAACCCGTTCATCTGGGGATGGGCCATAGAGCTGAACATTAACTGAATCCCGTAGTTCGCACAGAACTCCTGGAATCGAGCACTGGTGAACTGGGATCCGTTGTCCGTGATGATGGCTTCGGGCAAGCCAAACCGAGTCACGATATTTTTCCAGACGAATTTCTCCACTTGCCGCTCCGTGATTGTCGCTAGTGGCTCGGCTTTTGCCCATTTGGTGAAGTAATCCACGCCCACGACAATGTATCGCCGTTGCCCCGAGGCCGGTGGAAAGGAGCCGTGGAGGTCCAATCCCCATTGCGCGAACGGCCACGCACAGTCGATGGGGGACAGGGGGACCGCCGGCAACCGAGGCATTCGGGCATGCCTCTGGCAGAGCCCACACCGCTGCACGTAGATTCTCACGTCTCAGGACATGGTGGGCCAGTAGTATCCTTGACGAAGGATTTTGTAGGCCAAGTCCGACCAGCAATATGCTCCCCGCAGATCCCCTCGTGGACCTCGGCCAGGACCGCCTGTGCTTCGTCAGGCTCGAGGCATCGCAGTAGGGGCTGTGAGAAGGATCGCTTGTAGAGCCGTCCGTTCACCTCGGAATACCATGCTTGTGATCGGCGAATGCGCCGCGCCATGGCCTCGTCGTTGGGAAGAATCCTATCGCGTTTGAAGAGCAACATCTCTTGTACCCACATGGTGCGCGCCTCGGCAGGAGTTATAGCTAAAACCGAGATGGCGCGGGATGGGAGCTCTTCAACCTTGATGTGGTTTTCATGGTCTGGTCCTAAGGCCATCCTTGCCAACTCGTCGACTCGTTCATTTTGGCTCCTCGGCACCTTGGATATCCTGAAGTGGGAGAAGTTGGAGGCCAAGCTTTTTACCTCCGCTAAGTACTTTGCCATGGCCGGTTCCCTGGCTTCGTATCCACCGCTGAGTTGCTCAGCGACGAGCTGCGAGTCAGTGAAGACGTGGATGGCATCCACCTGCATTTCAAGGGCCAGTTTGAGTCCCGCCAGGAGCGCCTCGTACTCGGCTTCATTATTGGTTGCCCGGAACCCGAAGCGGAAGGAGCATTCGAACGAGCGTCCATCGGGTGCCGGGAGTACCAACCCTACGCCCGCGCTGCTGGAGGTAGCCGAGCCATCCATGTACAGGTCCCACGCCTCCTCTGTCTGCTCGAAGCTTCCATTCCCGTCTTCAACTAGTTCCGCGATGAAGTCGGCCACTAACTGGGCTTTGATAGCAGTCCTCGGTACATAATGTATGTCGAATTCTCCGAGTTCTACCGACCACTTGAGGAGTCATCCTGCAACATCAAACTTAGACAGAACCTGCCGAAGTGGCTGATAAGTGATTACCTCAATCGGGTGAGCCTGGAAGTAAGGGCGTAGTTTCCAAGACGCGAGCATGAGCGCCAAAGTGAGCTTCTCGATTAGCGGATACCGCTCCTTGGGCCCGTTCAGGACATGGCTGATGTAATAGACCGGTAGTTGTTCCCCAGAAGCCTCTTTGGTTAGGACGGAGCTGACCGCGTGTTGGGAGGCGGCTAAGTAAACGCTGAGCTTTTCTCGAGAGTAACCGAGGCAAGGTGGGGGAGGTTGGCCAAGTGCTGCTTGACTTGTCCAAAAGCCTCTTCACACTGTGTCGTCCACCGGAAGTCCTTGGGGTTCTTCAACACCCAGAAGAAGGGAAGGCAACGGTCTCCAGATCAAGATAGAAACCGGGATAAGGCAGCAAGTCGTCCGTTTAGTCACTGCAAGTCCTTGACTGTTCGAGGGGCCTGCATGTTGATGACCGCTTGAACCTTTTCCGGATTTACATCGATTCCTCTTTCATGCACGATGAATCCGAGGAACCTTCCCGAATTGATGCCGAAAACGCACTTCGCTGGGTTTAGTCGCAGGCCATACCTCCGGAGTGTGGAGAATGTCTCGGCCAAGTCGGCCAGATGGTCTGCCGCCATGCGACTTTTCATGATCATGTCATCGACATAGAGTTAGACGTTTCGCCCGATTTGTGCGTCGAACATTTTGTTCACGGCCCTCTGATAGGTGGCGCCTGCGTTTTTGAGCCCAAACGACATGACTTTGTAGAAATACACCCCTAGATCGGTGATGAAAGCCGTGTGCTCTTGGTCCTTGGGCACCATTCTGATCTAGTTGTAGCCGGAGAAGGCGTCCATGAACGACAGACGGGCATGCCCGGCAGTTGCGTCGACCAACTGATCGATCCTTGGGAGGGGATAGCAGTCTTTCGGGCATGCACGGTTGAGACTCGTATAGTCAACGCACATCCTCCAACTCCCATTAGATTTCTTTACTAGCACTATATTAGACAGCCATCGCGGGTACTTGACTTCCTCGATGAAGCCAACCGCTAAGAGTCGCTCCACCTCTTTACGGACGACCAGTTGCCTATCGGGGGCTTGACGTCGTGGCTTCTGTTTTACGGGCCGGGCATCGGGCGAGATATTCAGGTGGTGCTGGGCGGTCTCTAGGTCGACGCCGGTCATGTTGGATGGCGTCTAGGCAAAGACATCGACGTTCTCCTGCAGGAAACTGACGAACTGCTCCCGTTCCTGCCCGGGGAGTTCCGACCTGACCTGGACCGTCCGATCCAGGCGATCCTCCATCAACGATACATTGCAAGTGGCCGACGTTGGCTCCGGATGTGGTGTCGATTGCTTCTTTTCTCTCGGGTCCTCTAGAGGTTGGTCGGTCTTCGCCCTTTTGTGTAGCGAAACCGCCGTCAGGTAGCATCGTCTGGACTCTTGGGGGCTTCCCCAAACTTCCCCTGTCCCGGCGTGGGTAGGAAACTTCACCGTCTGATGATAGTTGGAGACTACAGCTCTGATTTTGTTGAGGGTGGGGCGGCCAAGGATGGCATTGTAAGTAGTAGGAAGATCTACCACCAAGAAGGTGGACATCATCGTTTTTGTTCTGGGCGGCGCTCCCAAGGTCAGGGGCAAGGTAACGGTCCCCAATGGTGAGACTGAATCGCCGGTGAATCCCGTGAGCGCCGAGCAGATAGGCTTCAAGGATTCTTTGGTTAGCCCTAACTTCAGGAAGGCATCCAGATAGAGCATGTCGGCTGAGCTCCCGGTGTCGATCATGATTCTCCTTACCTGGGCGTTAGCGATTCGAGCCATTATCACAAGCGCGTTGTCATGGTCTGGTCTCTTGACGTCCTCGGGAAGGAATGCGACCTTGGGGTCGGGGCTACGTTGGGGAACGTCAGTCCTGGTGGAACGGGCGTATGCCTTCCTCCCGGACATGCTGGTTCCCCCAACTGCCGGTCCTCCAGTGATGACATCGATGCGGCACTCCGCGGGGCCCTCCGGGCGAGGCGAGGGCTCCATGTTACGTCGGATGTACCGACTAAGGTGACCCCCGCGGACAAGCTCCTCGATCTGCCGTTTGAGTTCGCGGCAGTCTTCGGTGTCATGCCCACTTTGCTCGTGAAAGCGACAATGCTTGGACTGGTCGGCGAGCTCTCGTTGGTCTTTCATCGGGACGGGAGCCCTAAGCAACCCTCTCTCCTTTATCTGGAGAAATATCTCCATTCGGGATGCGCCCAGGGGGGGAAGAGGGGGCCTCGGAGGGGGCCTCTGATCGGTCCCGCCTACGCCTAGTCGCGGTAGGCTGCTGCCCGGGAGCCAGCTCTGGTCTGACCCTCACGCGCTCTTCTTGCTTTCCGGCCATCCAAGCCTCAGCCGCGACAAACTGGTTCGCCCGCTGAAGCATCTCAAGTAGCGCGGTGGGGGGGTCTCTCAACAAGGGACCAGAAGAATCAGGAAGGTCGCAGTCCCGCCATGAACGCCTGCATCAACAGAGAGGGGTGAGCATCGGATAGTCTCCAGATCTGCGTTGCAAAACGGTTCACAAAGTGGGAGAGGGACTCGTCCTCCCTCTGGTGCAGTTCGAGAAGCAAGGCAACGGATGGTTTCGGCCGAGCGCTGGCCAGGAACTTGAGCTCAAAGTCTCTGGCAAGCTGATCGAATGAAGTGACCGTCCCGGTCCTCAGGCCGCTGTACCACACGCGGGCTGGTCCTCTCAGAGTTGTGGGGAACGCCCTACACATCAGAGCGTCAGAGGTTCCATACAGTGTCATTTGGGTGCGGAAGGCAGCGACATGGTCCACTGGGTCGGTGGAGCCATCATATGTGTCAAGAGAAGGGAGACGAAAGTTCTGTGGGATTGTCTGATCCCGTATTTCAGGGACGAATGGGGATCCCTAATGTACATCCTCCCCGAGCTCTCCTCTTGAGCTACGGACCTCCTTCTGTACCTCGTTAAGCCGTTGACTGACGAGAAGCAACTAGGCTCACAGGGAGTCCGACGAGGCCGGAGGAAGGGCCTCGGGTTGAGCGTCGCATTTTCGGTCTGTCGTCACTCGATCCCCGAGTGGGGACGACGGGACCCGAGGCAAAGCTGGAAGCTCCAGGGGCTGCGCTTGAGCCTGAACAGGCGATTCCTGCTGTCACATTGGTTCGGCGGCCGACGGGTGCAACGTTCCAGAGATGAGTGGAATGATGGACTGTACCATACCGGTTAGAACTTGGACCTGATGGGTGAGGTCGAGAAAGGCCTCGGACAAGACGGGCAACAGTTCGGCGGAGGGGGCGTCGGGCGGCAACAAACCCTGGTCGTTGAAGATCCACCAATAGCGCTCTGAAGTTGCGACGGGGTGTTTGTTGCGGAGACCCGCTCGTGGGGAGTGTTCCCTTGGAGCCCCGACCGGGTGCGCCCCTTCGACTACGGGTTCGACCGGGTCGATCCGGCGATCCCTCGACATCGGGCCCTCCTTTTAGCGCCAAAATGTTGGTGTAAACAACTTTAAGCCGTGGCCTCGGGGCCGATGTGGCTCGGTTCGGGTCCGGATGACTGGGGATCTCTCAAGGGGGGGGGGGTTCCTCGGGACTGCGGCAGTTGCCGACTCGGGTTGGTTTGGTTATGGAAGTGGGTCGTCGTTTCCTTCTGGAGGGGGCACCTAGCCGATGCGTTCGGAGAGGGTCGCCTCGTCTTTGTCCCTACACACAAGTCGGGTCGAGATGCCTGACCCGACCCCTCCGATGGTTAAGTTAGTGAATGGTCATAGAGGGTTTTTCATCTATGTGTGTGTCCTCCTTGCCCTCTCCCCAGGCGCCCAGAGTGCAAGGGTATTTATAGGGGAGTTTAGTGTCACCTGACGTGCCTGCTCGCCGGGGGAAGGATCGTACCTTCTGATGACGTCTGACATGGCTGTTGGCGTGGCGTGAGGGATCGAGCCTGAGCGGTCGTTAATGGGCCTTGGTTGGCATTGCGGCCCGTGTGGGCCAAGCGTTGTTAGCCCGACGGAGACATGGGGCGTCAGCTGATGTCACGTAGGTCTTATCGTAATTATCATCCTCATCACTAGGGATGATCCACACGGTAGGGGCTGCAAAGATGCTCCTCAATTCTCCTCACCATGTGCACCACATAATCAAGAAGGGGCTGACCCTTCTTGCTATCCATATGCCCTGAACTATAAGAAAATTTAGAGGCGACATCACATGCATAGTGGAAGAACAAAAAATAAAAACTCTAAATTTTCCAAAAAGGTATTCATCGTCGTGCAAAGATTGGTGTGCAAAAACCCGCGAAACTTAAAATCATACTAAGATAGTTGTGTTATCTAGGGAGATCATATATCCTTAACTCCCATAGATCTGTAGGAGAGGATGAAGGAGGTCAAGTGTTCTCATCTCTAACGGTGATGCACACAACAAGGCTACGACGATGCTCCTCAAATCTCTGCACCTGCTATTTAAGGAGGAGAATAGGAGGTAGACAACCAAGAAACCTATGGCCTATGGGTGTTTAATTCCCTTCTATTTATAGAAGCCCCCTAGTCAACTTAACCCTAATGGATCCTGCCCTATTGGGTATTGGATCTCCATCCAACTATCAAAGCCTCTTAGATTACTGGATATCTATCTAATAATCTCTCATGGACTCTTATTAGATCTCATCCATAGGATCCAATAATTCAAGAGTTTATTGGATATTCAATAAGATAAGGGCTCCAATGGATATCTCATATCCAAACCTCTACTCGTAACACAAGCGGTGTTACCGCCAGTATCCCGAAAACTAGGGATGAGACTCTTTTAGGTTCTAAGTCTAAATCCACTTGAGGCCTCTAAATACCCCTCTCATCCCTAGTTAACAAACATAAGAATTGAGAACAAAAAAGTAAAAAAACGCTGTTGTAATCTTCTGAGAACTCCTCTCAAGCTCTAAGTGTTAGTGTAGTTTAAGAGAAGAGTAAGTAGGGGTGTAAAGGTTCTCCCCTGAACCTGTCATAAGGAGAATCGAGTGTAAAAGGGTAGTTAATCTTCGCCCATTGAAAGAAGATCAGTAGTGGAAGCCAGTAGCCTCAAGTGAGGAGGAATCGAGAGTGGATGTAGGTCATGACGACCTAACCACTATAAATATGTGTGTATTTATATTATTATCATTTACTTACTTTGTAATTTATTCACTTCCTTCTTACTTTGCTTTCACTATGCTTACGAATAAGCATTTAATTTTAAGTTATCTTCCGAGATCAGTTTTTCTCGTACGAAGATTTTTTACTTGACGTAATTTATATCCGCTGCACTAATTCACTCCCCCTCTTAGTGTTGACTCGATCCTAACACATTATGTCATTTTATATATTATCAAAGACCCAATAAGTTCTTCAATCAAAAAATGGTTTAAGTTCTTTGATTCTTAAATAACCGTTACTTTAGGATCCCAATTTTTAGAAAGAGATCGTAAAATTTTGTTCACAAGTTCAAGGTTTGAAAAACTTTTACCAAGTGCTTTTAAACTATTGATGACATCTGTAAAACAGGTGTACATGTCAACAATAGTTTTGCTTGGTTTCATATAAAACAACTCGAAATCATGAATCAAAAGATTAATTTTAGAGTCTTTAATTCTACTAGTGCCTTCGTGTGTGATTTCAAATGTGTGCCAAATATTATACGCAGTTTCAAAAATAGAAACACGATTAAATTCATTTTTGTTTAAGGCATAAAACAAAGCATTCATAGCATTGGCATTCAAAGAGAAAGTCTTCTTCTCTAAATCATTCCAATCATTCATTGGAAGAGAAGACTTTTGAAATTCGTTTTCGATAATATTCCATAAATCGATATTCATAAAAAGTAAGAAAACTCTCATCTGAGTTTTTCAATAAGTGAAGTCTTTCCCATTGAACATATGAGGACGAATGATAGAGTGACCATCTTTAAAGCCAAAAATAGTCATTTCTCTTGGGTGTTAAACCAAATGAGAAAAGAATGTGGCTCTGATACTAATTGTTAGGATCAAGTCAGCACTAAGATGGGGGGGTGAACTAGTGCAGCGGATAAAAACGTCGATTTTGAAAAATATTTGTTTCAATAAAACCGATATCGACAAAACCCGTATAGGAAATATGTTTAACTTGAAAATGTGTTTGTAAGCATAGTGGAAGTAAAGCAAGTAAGATAGTTTGCAGTGAAGGTAAATAGCAAGAATAGAAATGCAAACCAAGTTTTATAGTGGTTTGGTTGTCGTGACCTAGATCCACTCCGCCGATTCCTCTTCAGTCGAGGCCACCAGCATCCACTAACAATCTTCTTCCAATGGGTCAAGATCAACTACCCTTTTAGACCCGATTCTCCTTTTGATAGGTCCAGGAGAGAATCTTTACACCCCCACTTACTCCTCTCTTAAACTACACTAACACTTAGAGCTTTGAGAGGAGAACTCATAAGATTACAATAGTGTTTTTCTTCTTTTTTGGTCTTAATTCTTGTGTCTGTTAAAAAGGGAGGAGAGGGGTATTTATAAGCCTCAAGTGGATTCAAACTTGGAGCATAAAAGTGTCTTATCCCTGATTTTCGAGGTACTGACGGTACCACTGCTTATGCTGGACGGTACCACTACCTGCAGCACTAACACTAGGTGGTACCATGACCCAGTCTAGTGGTACCATCACCTAGAAGATTGTGTTTGAGTAGTACCACCACCCAGACTGACGGTACCACCGCCTGACACAATCTCGGAGACTATGCCACCGATGGTTCCATCTGTTGGGTCACTATTTGGGCCTTTCACTTGACCTAACATAGCCCAAACTTGGGCCCAATTGGACCCTAATTGAGTTGGCTCAATTCCAACCCAATTACGCCTAAAACTTACTTCGATCTAGATAATTTTTACAAAGCTTAAATCAAATGTTATCTGGCATATCATTGGTTTATCGATGCTTCGTTCAATTCTTCGACGCATCATCCTCTCTTCCGGCCTATTGCCCAATCGGCCAGTTGACCTCCACAAATCCGATTTCCTTGGCATAATTTTAGCTCTTCTTGGCCTGATGCTCGAACCCATAGCCTAAATCCTTCTGTCGATACGTCGATCGATCCTCTGGCTTGACATCTAATCATTTGACATGTTCTACTCTGGCCCAACATAATTCTTCCTACTTTTAATTGTCTCTCCTTGATCG